AAAGAAAAAAAATCTAGGCATCAATCTAATCAAGAAGTGAAAAATCTCTACAAAGCTGTTATACAGATTTATGTAGTTCCAATCAAAATACCAACAACATACTTTACAGAACTACAGAAAAAAAATCCTAAAATTCATATATAACCAGAAGCAATCCAGAATAGCAAAAGTAACTATCTTAGTTACTTTATTGTTGCTGAGACAAAATATCTGACACCCAAAGTTCAAGGGAGAAAGGTTTATTTAGGTCAGTCTATAGAGGCTTTCGTCCATAATTTCTGGGTCCAAGGCAGGGTGGCTTTGCAGAGGGGCATCACAGAAAAGAAAACATTTCATGGTGGGTAGAAGACAGTAAAAAGCAAGCAAAGCGATTAATGTAGCTCTTTTCCTTATATCTTATCCAGGCTACTTGGGGTGGTTAGCACTCATACCTTTAATCTTAAGTGCCCTTGATCCTAGCTTTCACCATGAATCAATTCCAGCATCACCAACTACAAATCCTGCTACTTCAGAAAAAGCCCCACCTATGACTGCATGAGGCTTTGAAGAGATACCTAGACACAAGCTATAACAGAAACTGTGGCAGTAAGAGCAAAGCAGGTAGTATAGTAACACCTGCCTTTAAGCTATGCTACAAAGCAACAGTGATGAAAATGGCATGGTACTGGAATAAAAACATGTGGATTAATGGAACAGAACCAAGGATACAGAAAGCTCACCACCTATATCAACTATCTGATCTTTGAAAAAGTAGCCAAAAACAAATGCTGGAGAAAAGATAGCCTAGAGGGCCAGGGAGATGGCTCCGTAGAGTAAGTGTTTGCCTGGTAAGTGCAAGGTCCTGAGTTCAATCCCTGGTACCGCAACAAAAAAAAAAGAAAAAAAGAAAAGACAGCCTATTCAACAGTTGGATTTGGTGGATTAAAATGCCTGCAAGCAGGTGTGTGTGTGGGGGGGGGCTTTAATCAGTGCCGGCCCCACCCCTGGAGCATACTGAGAAGGCAATTGAGACTGAGCTTGGTGTGGTGTGCCTATAATCCCAGCTCTTGGGAGGCTGTAAACAGGAGGATCACGAGTGCAATCTAGTAGTGAGACCCTGAACACCCTGTAGATCCTTTCCTAAAATCTAAAAACAAAAACAAAACAAAACAAAAAAACATGGGTTTTAGGAAAAATGGTGTATCTATTTGCAGAATAATGCAACTGGACCCTTATCTCTCATCATACACTAAATTAAAATAAAAATGGATGAAAGATTAAAACCAAAACATTAAACCTCTTGAAGATAAAATGTGTAAAATACTTGAAGATACAGGTGTAGAAAAGGATATTTTAAATAGAATGTCAATCATGAAAAAATAGCGGAAGAATTAACAAATGAGATTATATCCAATTAAAAACCTGCTATCTTCTCTCTGCTTGACAGCAAAAGAATCAGTACAGTTAAGAGACAATCTACAGAACGGGAAATACATTTGCCAGCTATTACTCAGGTAGAGTATTAATAACTAAAATATGGAAAGAACTAAAAAAAAAAATAAACCACCGATTATTAAAGATTGAGTCAAGAAAGGGGCAAAAGAAATTAACAGACACTTCACAGAAGAATTACAAAAGGTCAATAGATATGTTAAAAAATGCTTAATATCCCTAGCCATTCAAGAAATAATGTAAATTAAAACAACCCTGAGAGTCTATCTTACTGCAGAAAGAACAGCAAT